GATTACCTCTAGTGTCTCATTTTTTAATTTAAATGACTTGGAACTGATTCCAAATTACATATAAAGTCATTAGACTGCTCAATAGAAGCAGACGTCTGTGTAGCCAAGACCTTGGCTGAGTTAATATATAAACAATAACATAGCACATTTGCTGTCTTAAATTATATTTGGATAGGTAATACCTATCTCTAGTCAACAATTTCTTTATTATTTATGTCTATTAAATCAATTCTATTATTATAATTATAACAATTAAATGTCAAACGAAGTACATGTGAAAATCGCTTTTGTTACAAACTATTCGTTCGGGGTGACGTTTGTGAAGTTTTTGAACAAATATTATTTTCATGGATAGGTTTTACGCGCATTTTGCAGTACAGAATATTTTGATGAGTAGAAATAAACTTTTTTTTTTTCAAATATAGAAACCAGGCAATGTTTGCATTCAAAGAATTTGTATTTTTTTGTAAATTTAACTATTTGCAAAAATCTTTATATCTGAATCTGAAATTGTTTCTCGATTTCAGATTCAGATATAAAGTTTCTATGATAGACTGCTTGGAAAGTTTTAAAACATGATGATATAACAAGATTAATACGTTAAAACAGTACGTGATCATGTAGTACGCTGGCATTCAATATGATTCTGAAATCGCGTTCGGCTCAAATGAACTTAGGAATTATTTTAATTATGCAATCACATCACAGTGTTAGTTTACAGAGCGGTCACTCACATCACATAAAATCTTAAACTTACTTGAATAGATTCTTGATAGATTCTTGTTATCTATTAATATTCGTTAGTGTAACTGACGGTCATTACAATCATTATTAAGGTAAATGGATGATGTGGTCATAGAAACCTAGATCTAACTAAAATCTAAAGTCAAATTCAGATGCGTTTTGTTCCGTTAAGATTAAGATGGAATGGAATGTGTCACTACCAGTAAAAGGGTCTCCGGTTCTCGTTACTCACCATACTACTCAGGGGCGTAGCTACCGCCGTATCAGCCGTACCAATGATAGGAGGCCCCCGGGTTACAGAGGCCCCCGGGCTACAGAGGCCCCGAACGTATGTAAGCAAAACTTTTAAGGACTTCTATGGGACAGGATGTTGGTTTGAATTGTTTCGCTAGCTTAGTTCCTTGGAGTATTAATTGTAAGTAATAACTTACAATCAATATGTAATTATTTCAATTCAATGCGAGAGTTTTTGTTCCTTTTGTGATAAATCTTTACCCTACATTTGGGCCCCCCGTCAAATTTTGATACAGGGCCCCTCTAAGGCACGCTACTCCACTGCTACTACTGTACACTAGTATTCTGTGAGTGATTCTGTCTGTGAGTGTGAGTGTACACTAGTATAATACTATTTAGATAATTCATATTTTAGGTACTCAAGAGTACCTAAAATATGAATTATCTAAATTTAATGACCAAAGATCAGCGCACAATTGACATGAATTAATTTCCGTGTACTATCCACACAATTCTATACTGATCCGTGTATTTTACACGAGTCTGTACAGGATTATGTATATCTCTGGTAACATAATCGTACTTGGTTACAAAAAACGTTTTACTATGTTTAAAACCTTTTATTATGTTGCCAATAATAGATGATAATTACCACTCATTTTATAAATTGATATATTGTCGTCACAGGTAGTGGGCACTTTCATAAAAATATGAGGAAGTGATCCGCCTAAACCTGTTTCGCCCTCATGTGGATCGAAATTAGTTCGATCTTGTTGTGCACTTCTTTAAAGATCACGTTGACATTTATTATACATAAATAAATATAAAAATTGTTCATTTTTTGCCGTATAGTGGCCGAACGCTCGCCTTTTTTTTTTAAAACGCAACTAGAGTTTATTCCTGAGTATTTTTACAATATATTTCGAGGTCCAATTTAACTGATTCTAATAGAACAAAATATATTTCAAGATCATTCAAGAGTGCATTTTATTAATCCGTAGTAGAGCTGTATTTTTTTTTTACCATCAAGGTAAAAAATTGAAGAATTCTGTGCCAGTAATAAAATTTATAAATACTTTTTATTGGGTACTTAATTTCTTGCGGGAAGCAGCAATCCACTGCTGTATTCCCGTTAGAAGGTTAAGATCTCGTAGCTTGAAGAGTAACATCTAAATCTTCACTGTCGACAACTCATTTACGTAGGTCACTCAATAAGTTTTGAGATATACAAAAACTGTAGGGTAGGTGACTTAGAGTTTCAACACCAGATTCCTCAATAAATGCTTTTGTTTTAAGGGAGGTATGTGAAGAGTCGTTATCGTGATGCAGCATGATTCCCCGAAGCCCGGTCTTTGGTCTTCTCTCCCGCACAGCTTGAAAAGCTTTGGGTAATGCAACTGTAGTATACCATTCAGAGTTGACTGACCTACAACTTTCCAGCATTGACGTCGACAAATGTCCGCTCCACGAAAAAAAACTAGTAACCATTTTTTGTCGACGTTGCGAGGTCTTTGCAGTTTTCTTGGTAACTGTCCTTCGGAGTAGACCCATACCAATGATTGCCTTTTATTTTCTGGCATTTCATGGCACCAATTCACACGAGTCTGTTTTTGGCTTTCGGAGAGCAAACGAGGGATCCATCGACAACAAAGCTTCCTCACTCCAAGATGTTGATGTAGGATGGTATGAATGCTCCCCGAAGGCATTAGGTCTATAATCTTTTCGATGTCCGTAATGTGATTCGTGGGTCTTCTCGCACCAACATTTCAGTAGTTCAGACATTTTCTGCCGTTACTGCAGTTTGCGGGGCCCCGGTTCTTTGGTCATATTTAAGATTAATTTGACCTGTTTTGAATTCAGCAAACCACCTAAAAATTGTTGCGCGTGATGGAGCTGAGTCCTCTAATGCTGATTGTAACCGTTGTAAACTTAATTTTTCGGTTAAACCAAATTTAAAATCATAATATATCATAGCGCGCAAATGTTCACGGTTAAGATCCATCGTTTTAAATGAAAAGCACGGGAAGCGTTGCAGGAAAATTAATAGAACTTTGTTTTTTTTTTAATATTTATGGAGTTCTATTTTTAAATAAATTTTCTTTTTAGAAACATATGCGTTCCGTTTTAAAATTTCGAGCATTTAAATACTTATTGAGGGACCTACGTATAGCGTCATTTTAATGAAGCTGGTTGCAGATGTCAAAGGGTAGTAGCCATTTACCAGGAGATAGATTATTAGCTCGTTTGTCACTCTTTACAGATTATATAAATTTTATATTAATTAATATATTGTAACTCATAGTATTAAATTAATTTAGCGTATGTTAAACAAATGACCACGGACCATCTGATGATTAATGAATGCTGTCGCCCATAGACTACCTACCTATCCTCGTACCTATCATATCATATAACCTACAGTTATCCTCGAATAAGAAAATGCCATGGGTTTTCCACACTCGCCATACGAAACACAGCAGCATTATGTTGCTATTTTACAACGATATTCTGAGAGAGCTTGAAGCGTATCTACACAATTTATTGCAATTATAGTGTACAAAATATAATATGAAGTTAATAGGGTTTAGTTGTTTTAATTAATTTGGCGGCTCCGTGGCGCTGTTGCTCAGCAATGAGTTGCAGCGCTAAGAGCCGCGGGTTCGAATCCCACACGGAACAAGTATTTGTATGAGCCTACAAATAATTGTTCTGGGTCTGGATGTTTGTCCTTGTGCAATTTATGTATGTAAACTGCCCCCACGATACAGGAGAAAATCCTAGTGCGGAGGTAACGTTTAAAAACAAAATTAATGAGTACAGTTTGCGAAAGGCGCCTTAAAATTCATTTCAACTATTGGTATCGGTTCGTATAATAATAAATGTGATATTGACAGATATTAATATAAAAGTTCGATACCCTTAAGAAAAATCTTTTGAAATTATAAATGAGTAAAAGAGACTATTACAAGGTGAAGTTCTCAGATAGATCACACTTTCCTAACTGTGATTGATCTGGGAATTTTGATTGTAACTAAATGCATACCTTCTTCTACTTATTGTAATTAATTACGGATTTAAGAAATTTATAATGTAATTAAGTTTAAGCATATCTAAAGTATTTGTTTTTGGTGTTGAACTAACGGAGAGACATATTCACATTGTGATTAAGACTATTTTTAAACAATTTGGAAAACCAAAATAGTTTTTCTTTCGGATTTCCAAATTAATGGGTGAACAATTTATAATTTTTTGTAAATGTATTCCTACCACCATAATGTGCATGTGTAAATTACTTTCTGCCAACAGCGTGGTGCCACAAAAGTGAGGTATAATATTTGACAAATTCATAGCGGGGAAGATAATTTGTTCGGAAAATGTAAAGATTAATGTTTATTTCTGTACTATTGTAGCTATATTTTATATTAATAAGATTAAAAATAAATAAACCAAAGCAGATATTCATAAAAGTAGAAAAAATTACAAAAAGTAAAAATGTGCAAAAAATTAAAGAGCAAACCTCTGAGGCATTGTTTTGTATATTAATATAATACTTTAGAAACTAATAAAATTGTATTAAAAACTAACTTCTCAATTAAATGACATCGCATCGTGTAACAAAAAACTTTACCTCAGTGTCAACTAGCGACATCTGGTGAACAGAAAATTATTAGTCCTCATTAATTCGTATTAAACATCAATATATGTTTTAATGTGAATGTTAGGAGTGCAAACAACCATTTAGTATTGTTTCGTCGACTTAGCTTGTTCATTTAACGAAGTACAAATTCTGACATTGAACATTGAATGAGATATGATGAGGACAGTGGGCGGTGGAAGTATATAATAAATACCTGCTAAGTAAGCCGAAATACATATAATGAATTTATATTTAACGTAGGTTAAAGATTAGTTGTCTTCCAGAAGGAAAAAGAAGCCGTTCTTCCACCTTTTTAGTAACCATTATATTATTTAAGGTAATATTTGAATTGTAAAAATTATAACGAATCTTAATTTGGTCATACCAGAAGTAAAATCCATATAAAATCGATCCTCATCTCGTTACAGAACTATATTTCCGCACAGGAACAGCTGATTTACTGTATCGATAAGGACATGTCCACACAACCGATGGTACAGGACATTGTTCCGGTTGGAACTATCGAATAACGCGATTATATTTATCGTAGCATTACGTATCGTTTCAATACGTTTTTGTTCAGCGCCACTGTCACACTGTAAAACTAAGCGATGCCCTCTAATTCTCTTTTCGAATTTCGAACTGGAATAAGCGGTTCACTTCTAGTACACGTGTGTCCTGCGCGCGCGCTCACATTGACTATGCTGTCCGCCAACAAACAACTGCCGGTGCTGACCTTCCCAATTAGCAATTAAATTTATGTAATGCACTTTCTTAAGAATTCATGACGTGTTTATTGTAACGAACGCACGCCAGCACAATCAACGAGTAGTACTGATATCAGTCAAGTATACTTCAGGATAAGGGAGAAAATAAGGCATTGCTTTTACTTATAAGACTTATTATTAATTTTATTACAAAAGTTCCTATTATTAAACAAATGGAATTAAACAATGATTTAATATAAATTTTCGAATAAAATTCTTCTCTTCTTCTTTATACACAAAGAATGTAGAGATTATTGAACGACCAGCGTAACTTAACCTGCATTTTACGTATTCAATGTGCGTAGTAAGGATCATGCCCGTATTGAGGTGCTGCGTAGGGGTCATACTCGTACTGCGGATGCGAAGGAGGCTGGAACAAAGATTAAGCAAGATTTAAATATGTAAGATGCTCGAGTACTATTTTTTCATCTAAACTTACGGTTAAACAATATGAACTGTCATTACAATTAATGGTTAATTTGTAACTAAGCAAATTTTAAGCTCTCAATGATGTACATGCAAAAATGAAAGTGGAAATTCAGTTCAGAATTAAAAAATAAGCCACTAAAATAACAGCCTTCAACAAATCAACGACTGTTTACCATTACAGCCTATCCAGTCTACGACACGTTTTAACACGTGGTAGAGCCATGCTGCAGCTATATTAGTTGTATAGTTGTAGCACGACTGGGTCGGCTCGACCGGGGAAGGACCACGCTCTCAAAGAATACGAGCGTAATATAGCAGCTTAACACTGCTGTGTTTCGTATGGTGAGTGTAGAGAACCGGACACACTTTAACAGTGGTAGAGCCACGCGGCAGCTTTTGCTGTCGCACGGATGGGCCGACTCGAACCGGGGTGGTACCACGACCTCACAGAATACCAGCGTGAAGTAGAGTTTTACCTCTGCGTTTCGCTTGGTGAGTGCAGATGGCCGGAGGCCCTTTTTTCTGGAAATGAGGCATTCCGTCTTAGTCCTCACGGGTGGCAACGCATCTGCATTTTGATTCGCAAACGAGGATAGATGTAGATGTCTATGGGCCGCAGCAACCACTTACCATCAGGTGGACTGTGTGCTCGTTTGTCACCCTTATCTTATAAAAAAAAATAAGAAACCGTTGCAGCTTAGGAGCTAGGCGCTCGCTGTAAATTTCACGGTACGCGAGCAATCTGGGTTCAATCCCCGCCGGCACCAATGAAATTGTTAATTGCAGATTGAAGTGGTTATTTATTACGTGTTCGGAGGTGAATCAAAACACCGTGAGTAAATATGAGGTATAAAATATTTTAAGGCCATGAGAAGTCCGTCAACACGCAGTGGAACAGCGAAACAGACTAATTGCTCCATAATAACCTCTCAGAAGCTCAGATGGCTAACGCTCGGTGTAAATTTCACAGTAGGTGCGCGAGCAACCCGGGTTCGATCCCCGTCGGTACCAATGAAATTGTTAATTGCAATTTTAAGTGCTGATTTACCACGTGCTCGGCGGTGAAGGAAAACATGGTGAAGAAACCGGCATGTCTGAGAAATAAGAAAAAAAATATATTTCGAAGACATGTGAAGTCTGCCAACACACATTGGGACAGCACGGTTGACATTTCCTTGCCCTAAAACCCTCTCAGAAATGAGAGGAGGCCTGTGCCCAGCAGTGGGACGGATACGCCTATATGCTGCCTGCAACTTTAACTTTTTAACTTTAACCTCTCAGAAATTAGAGGACGACAGGTATAGGCTGTAATTTTTATTTCTTCTCATTAATTTCTTTTTTTGATCACCTGATAGTTGTAGGTAGGTTTTTTCTTTTCCACAACCTCGCCGTGCACATGCTTCTTAAATAGCAACCCACTTGCAATCAGTTCCTTAAGCTTGAGTTTCGTAGACAATAAATTGGCCGCTAGAGCTTTGTTGAAAACTTTGAGCTCCTTGACCTTAGCTTTGATAGCCCACAATGCGTCTTTGAGCAAATCCAATTTGCCCATGGAGGCATCATCATCCTCTTGGTACTCATCGCTGTCGTAGGATGGCGTTTCATATGCAGCCCGGTATAAATGCTGTTCATCTTCATCCATATCTACGTATCGGGGCAAGTGCCTTGACAGGGCTAAAAAGTTACAATATTTATTAGATATTTTTAAATATTTAATTGGTTTAATATAACAAATGATGACACATCCCGTAACCGTTATGGCCTATTAAAGTCCACAGCTGCACATAGGCCTCCCCTATAGATTGCCTCATAGGCGGGATATTTGCCATAGTTGCCACGCTTGGCAAGCGGGTTGACGACCGCATTTTTTTATTTTTTAGTCGGAACACGCTGAAGCCTATCACCTGATTTGTTTCCCTCTATCGCCTCTTACGACACCCACGGGATGATATGGGGTAGTGGATGTTCTTTTACCGCTACTAAATGGCATACATACATATTTCAATGATGATTACATATTGCCATAAAAAATAACGCAAAATATCCCAGTGAAGAAAGGGATCTATAATTATGAAGTTTTTAATCTAATGAAAAAATCACGTTCGTTTGTAATTTTTATAGAAACTATAAAATAAAAATGATAACATAATATAAAGCATATCGGCATAAGAACAGAAGCAGCATCTTCATAAAGTAACTCGAAGTAACAAAGGAATGCGGCTGCGGTTGCCGACCCACCTGCCGGGCGTTGCAAACTGTTGCAAGTGTCTCCTCTATGAGGCAATCTACGGGAGAGGCCTTATGTTCAGCAGTTGACTTTGAAAGGCTGTAATAAAAGAATTAATGAACTATATTTCTTCTAATAAATTTAATGCCGTTGTTTTGATAAATTCAGTGCTATGGCTCACAGACAACATTATCTAACATCAATAATTAAGAATGACCAGTCACAAGTTCTCACCCCCGAGGACAAAGATGGAATGCCTCACCATACTATAATATATAAATTGTGAAAAAAATGTTTTATTTTTATGGGCCAATGTCCTTTAAGTTCTTCATGCCTGAAATAAAGCTATTTCATTGTATTATATATACGAAATACAGCAGAATTTTTCTGCTGTTCCACGCTGGCATACTGTGTCATGTGTGAGCGTGGTTCTACCCCGATCGAACACTTATTCGTGCTGCAGCTATGTATAGCTGATATTGTACCGATTATTGTTGGTGAAATTTAAGTAACAGGTGGAAAGCACTGGCAGCCGTGATCTAGTTCTATATTTTATAAGAAAAAATTGGAGGTATATTTTATTTGAGAATCTGAAAAACTGATAAAATAAATGGTTTTAGATGATTATTTCAAAAAGAGATACTTGCCCAAAGACCACTAATATAGATATGTAGGTCACCTTTTAAGTTCTAAGCGAACGAAATCGCGGGTAAAAGCTAGTATAACATAAATCAAATTTGTTGAAAACTATAACGTACAGATTAAATCTTAATAATTAATTCTTAACATTAATAAACGTGTTATAATATCCACTACCCTATAATATCCCGAGGGATCTTAATAATTAATTCTAAACATTAATAAACGTGTAATGGCGATGTTATAATATGCACTGCCCTATAATATCCCGAGGGATGGGTGGATGATGGAGGAGGCGACAGAGGGAAATTAAGGAGGTGATAGGCAGCAGCATCTTCCTTATAAGAACTCATAATAATAAAAAACAGCGGTTGCCAACCCGCCTGCCAAGCGTGGCAACTATAAATAATCCCCCTTTGAGACGTATAACGGGGAAGACCTATGTTTAGCAGTGGACTTCTGATGACGACGATGATGATTAATATATTTATAGTATACATTTGTGACGCGGTTCTACGAATTATGTGCATTAATTTACGATTAAATTCTTTGTTAAGCGGCATATAACGTCTCTTCATTAATTTCGGACACTATGCAAATCTTTATAAGGGCCGAGATTAACTTGACAAAAAAGATACAGTAACAACTAGCTTACCTTACAGTTTAGAAAATTATCGAATTAGAAACCACAGGTATTTCGATTATATAGATTACGTAAGGCGTGCCTCAGAAAGGCTTTTGCGTTAGTTGCTACTGTTGATATGGTATTATGGTTTTAATCCTGACATTTTTGCAAAAAATTGATTTAAAAATTTATTTTCAACCACGTTCATACAACAACATAATATTTAAATATTTATTATAATAAAACAATAAGCATATGGAACTTTATGACTTATAAAACTCTAAAAAGTGAAGCCTGTCGATGGAATTTTTAAATATAATAATGCGTTTTTGAAGCTGTAATAAAACTTACCTGGGCTTATTAAAAGTAATATATAAATTGATGAGTAAAGTACCATTTTAACTAAAATTATTCTAAGAAATATTGAAATAAACTTTAACACGTGTACTACCAGCAAAAGCAATTCGTTCCAAGAAGCAGGCAACGCTCTTAGATCATTTTTTGCTTCCAATAGTTACAACTACCCTACATTTTTAATATGGAAATGAAGTTAAGTGGTTACATGTAAAAAATATATTCTGGCCTACTTACCTACTGTATTGGATTTATTAACATTGGGATCCAAATCTATATTTTAAGATCTTTAATTACCTACTCTTCTAAATAATTTTGGATATAAAATATATGTACTAATAACAGCTTTAATTAAAGTTTTAAGTAGGTTAATGGCT